ACTTTATCGCCACCGCGGGCGCGGTTGTCCTCGGCGACGTGGTGAGCGAAAAACTCTCGGAGAAGGTTGTCGCGTACGTCGGTGGTTCTCTCTTCATCTTGTTCGCCCTCGGCACGGGCATCGACATCGTCCAAAAGGTTACGAGCGCTTAGTCGTGCATACATATTTAATTATCACCATTGTGTCTTGTCTCTCGTTGTCGCGCGTCGCTTCACTTCTTAAACTAAGGGATGGAACGTCTGCGAATCCACGCCTCGGACGACGATGTTCTCCAAGTTTGTGTTCATGTTCTTCGTGAGGTTCTCGCTCGGCGGATACGGGCTCGCCTTGGCTTGCTCCACCGCCTCGTCGACGATGCGCCGTTGCTCCTTTTCGATTTGCTTGATCTCCGTCGCGTCGAGCAAGTTGTGTTCGAGGATGAGCTTACGAAGGCGTTCGACGGGATCACGCTCTTGGCGCACGCCGGAGATTTCGTCGCGCGTACGGTACGTGCTCCCTGGGTCGCTCATCGAGTGCCCGTGGTAACGGTACGTGTCCATCTCCATCACGATCGGTCCCTTGCCGGAGACGCAGTGCTCCTTGGCAAACTTGATCGCTTGCTTGACCGCGAGGGCGTCCATACCGTCCACTCGCAAACCTGGGACATAATCGCCACGCTTATAGTACACCGGACTCTTCGCACTGCGCTCTTGTGCCGTCCCCATGCCATAGTGGTTATTTTCGCACATGAAAATAACTGGCAAATCCCAGAGCGCCGCTATGTTGAGCGCCTCAAACAACTGACCTTGGTTCGCCGCACCGTCGCCATACATCGTCACCGCCACGTTCGGTTGCTTGTTATATTTGAAAGCGAACCCCAGCCCGGCGCCGATCGGCGTCTGCGCGCCGACGATGCCGTTGCCACCGAAAAAGTTAGCGTCGCGCTTGTACATGTGCATCGAACCGCCAATGCCCTTCGCCGCGCCGTCGACGCGTCCCATCAACTCCGCCATCACCTCCAGCGGTGTCCCACCTCGACCAAGATGTACGCAGTGATCGCGATAGGACGTCACCACCGCGTCCTCCTTCGTCAGCGCCCGCTCCATCCCGACCACGACGGCTTCCTGTCCGTCGTACAAGTGACAGAAACCGCGAATCATCTTCCCCTTGTACAGCACGTCCGCCGCGATCTCCAACCGCCGCATCATGTACGCCTGGGTGAACATATCGATAATCTCCCCCCTCGACGTCTCCACCATCTGTGACGGTGGTTCGATCAGGTGTCCCTTGAACGGCACCGGCGTCTCGATCGTCATCGTCTCATCCGTCGCCCTCGCCGCGAACGCCCGCGCCGGGCGACCGCTCGAGACCTGCGCGACGTCACGAACGCATCACCCGTCAGTCTCCACCGCCGTTTCCCCCCGCGCGATCGCTCGTGCGCGCGTGAGACGTCGCGATCGTCCACGCGGTCGTCATCGGTCGCCGCCGCGTCGATCGCGCGTCGTTCGCGATCGCGCGCGCGCGTCGTCGCCCG